CAGGGAATACAGGTTCAGGAACTTCAAGCGCTCCCAGTAATTGAGGTGTTTTATCTCCGTTATGCGCGCCGTGAAGGTTCTCTGTACATTTTCTAGGTCAGCAATTTCACCTGCCTTGAAAGGTGATGTTAGTGTGCAGCAATATTCCAGCCTAGATAGAACAAGTGACCTGAAGAGTGTCATCATGGGCTTGGCCTCCCTAGTTTTGAAGGTTCTCATTATCCATCCTGTCATTTTTCTAGCAGATGCGATTGATACAATGTTATGGTCCTTGAAGGTGAGATCCTCCGACATGATCACTCCCAGGTCTTTGACGTTGGTTTTTTCGCTCTATTTTGTGGCTGGAATTTTTGTACTCTGATGAAGTTTTAATTTCCTCGTGTTTACCATATCGGAGTAATTGAAATTTCTCATCGTTGAATTTCATATTGTTTTCTGCAGTAGTATTAGAACTTTTATATGGAAGCGCTAAACCGCTAGGGGCCACACAGCTCCTGGTGGAACTGGAAACAATCAGGTCAGAGTCAAGGAAAAGAGCGGGTCCAAGTCCTTGGATCAAGAGACCCTTACCGGCATTATAGCACCTCCCTCGAGTGGGTGATATGGGAATGGTAGAGGTGGATACGTCAGTGGCGATGATTGTGGTGGTGGTGGTAGTGATGGTGACGAGTGAGGCACTCTGCCAATACATACAGTGCCACCCCCTCCCCACCCAACAAACCACACTGACACTCATGTTATTTATGTAATGTTCTGGTCACAAGCTGCACTACTTTTAAAATCATATGTCGCAATCTAGATCCTTATACTGTATATGTGGGACACCGTGACACTTAGGTCAGTGTGGTGTGGGATGTGTGGAAGGGGGGAGCTGGAATATGTGGAAGGGGGGAGCTGGGATATGTGGGTGGGTGTAGTGTATGGGTGTGTGGTATAGTGTGTGGGTGTGTGGTATAGTGTGTGGGTGTGGTATAGTACTCAATTGTGGTTGCAGAGGACGAGACTCAGCTCCTGGGCCCGCCTCTTCACTGAGTGCTACTAGGTCCTCTCTCCCCCTGCTCCATGAGTTCTATCATACCTCATCTTAAAGCTATGTATGGTTCCTGCCTCCACTACCTCACTTGCTAGGCTATTCCACTTCGTGACTACGCTATGACAAGAAATACTTCTAACATCCCTCTGACTCATCTGGGTCTTCAACTTCCAATTGTGACCCCTTGTTTCTGTGTCTCCTCTCTGGAACATCCTGTCTCTGTCCACCTCGTCTATTCCACGCAGTATTTTGTATGTCGTTATCATGTCTCCCCTAACTCTCCTGTCCTCCAGTGTCGTCAGGCTGATTTCCCTTAACTTTTCTTCATAGGACATTCCCCTTAACTCTGGAACTAACCTTGTCGCAAACCTTTGCACTTTCTCTAATTTCTTGACGTGCTTGATCAAGTGTGGGTTCCAAAGAGGTGCTGCATTCTCCAGTATGGGCCTGACGTACACGGTGTACAGTGTCTTGAACGATTCCTTACTAAGGTATCGGAACGCTGTTCTCAGGTTTGCCAGTGTGTGTGTGGTATAGTGTGGGTGTGTTGTGTGTGGGGTGGTGTGCAGGGGTGTGGTGTTGTGTGTGGGGGGTGTAGTGTGGGGTGTAGTGTGGGGGTGTGGGTGTAGTGTGGGGGTGTGGGTGTAGTGTGGGGTGTGGGTGTAGTGTGGGGGTGTGGTGTAGTGTGGGGTGTGGTGTAGTGTGGGGGTGTGGTGTAGTGTGGGGTGTGGTGTAGTGTGGGGTTGTGGTGTAGTGTGGGGTTGTGGTGTAGTGTATTCATCTAATTGTGGTTGCAAGGGTCGAGGCTCAGCTCCTGGCCCCGCCTCTCACCGAACGCTACTAGATCCTCTCTCTCCCCGCTCCATGAGCTTTATCATACCTCATGTGTGGGGGTGTGGGTGTAGTGTGTGGGGGTGTGGTGTAGTGTGGGGGTGAGGTGTAGTGTGTGGGGGTGTGGTGTAGTGTGTGGGGGTGTGGTGTAGTGTGTGGGGGTGAGGTGAAGTGTGTGGGGGTGAGGTGTAGTGTGTGGGGGTGTAGTGTAGTGTGTGGGGGTGAGGTGTAGTGTGTGGGGGTGAGGTAAAGTGTGTGGGGGTGAGGTAAAGTGTGTGGGGGTGAGGTGTAGTGTGTGGGGGTGTGGTGTGTGTGGGGGTGTGGTGTGGTGTGTGTGGGGGGTGTGGGGGGTGTGGGGGTGTGGTGTGTGGGGGGGTGTGGTGTGTGTGGGGTGTGTGTGTAAGGGTGTGGTGTAGTGTGTAAGGGTGTGGTGTAATGTGTAAGAGTGTGGTTGTAGTGTGTAAGGGTGTGGTGTAATGTGTAAGGGTGTGGTGTAATGTGTAAGAGTGTGGTTGTAGTGTGTAAGGGTGTGGTTGTAGTGTGTAAGGGTGTGGTGTAATGTGTAAGGGTGTGGTGTAATGTGTAAAGGGTGTGGTGTAATGGTTGTGTAAGGGTGTGGTGTAATGTGTAAGAGTGTGGTTGTAGTGTGTAAGGGTGTGGTGTAATGTGTAAGAGTGGGTTGTAGTGTGTAAGGGTGTGGTGTAATGTGTAAGGGTGTGGTGTAATGTGTAAGGGTGTGGTGTAATGTGTAAGGGTGTGGTGTAATGTGTAAGGGTGTGGTGTAATGTGTAAGGGTGTGGTGTAGTGTGTAAGGGTGTGGTGTAGTGTGTAAGGGTGTGGTGTAGTGTGTAAGGGTGTGGTGTAATGTGTAAGAGTGTGGTTGTAGTATGAGAGAGTTAACTTTGGTTCATAATCATTATAGTCATGCGTCAGATAAAACATTTATGCTTCTTGTTTCTTAGAAGTTTGTTAATTAAAGAGCATCACCTCCTGTACTGTACGACCAGTCTACTACTACCTGCATGTTTGTCAGGGAGTATAATATAGGTGGTGGTGTCGGGGAGATTGTAGTGATGTGTATGGTCTAGCGGGGTGTATGGTTTGGTGATGTTTGGTTGAGGTGGGGGTGTATGTGAAGCGGATTTATATGGAGTGGAAATCATAAAGAACACATCTAGTTTCTCCCAACTTGTCTCCAGTTGTTCACCCGGTTCTATTTACGACCCAGTAAACCTGAACCATTCAAGGTGTTTGGTTCTGAGGATATTGAACTTGTACTGAAATTTTCCGAGGTTTAGTTTACGCTTTCAACAGCTGCTTGAATAGCGACCAAGATGAATTTCTTAGGAATAACCTTTAAAAAGGCTCGAATATCTGAGATTTAATTATTATTATAATCAAAATAAGCGCTAAGAAACCGGGGTCATACAGCGCTGACTTAAAATTTAAGCTAGAATTCACTACGAATCTCAATCATGGAGGGCCATCATTAACAGTTAAGCTGCTAAGAAATAGGTCACAGATTAGCAGACGGAGGATCGAGCTTCCACCACACCTTCCGATGAACTACTCGCACAGGTTTAGCAATTCATGAATTATGAATTACTGTGAATCAAACATTATATTGAAATATGATAAATACAGCCTTACTCGGGGAACAGTGCTGGGCATAAATATTATAATTACTTGGAAAACACAAAATTTATGCTATAATATTGCCAATTATTGTATCAAAATCATGCGCTAAATCCGTACGTATCATACAACCATGTTTCGGGTGATACTTGTGGCGGAATTATGATAAAGATACAGGCTTGACCTTCGCAAGGTCACGCTGTGAACAGTAATTTAATCAGAGTACGCTGAGACAATACCTTAAAGTAACCGCCGGTTGCAACGCTAAAAATACAGTTGTCAAATATTCAACACTACCTGTGTTAACACTACCTGTGTTAACACTACCTGTGTTAACACTACCTGTGTTAACACTCACCACCTACACCAACCTATATGTAATTACTTATAAAATATCTACTTCATTTTCTTCATAGCGACAATTAAATTTGATATGATAGGAAGAATATATAGTGTAAAATAATTAAAAATTAATTATTATTATCGTTAAAAGGTGAGAAAATGCGAGAATTGCAAATCTTTGTCAGCAAATTTTGTTGAGAATAAAAAATTGTGTTAAGAAAAATTATGATGATGAAGCCTAGCGAATCAGGACGGAGAGGTGAAAGTATGGGGGAAAATGTTGAGAATATTTAGAGTTGTGAAATTGTGGAAGGTGCCTAAGAACAGGTAGGTAGTAAGCGTAAGTCCCTTGTATAACAGGAAAGGGGACATAAAAATTTCAAGAATTATAAGGTTTTTTACTGGACGAGCTGGGGATAACAAGGTAAAATTGCTACTGCACAGGAACAAGGAGGATTTCGAAAAGGTAGGTCATGTGTAGATCAAGTGATGACACAGACGCATACAAGTGAATAATATTTAGCTAAGGGTATCATCGTATATATGAGTTTAGAAAAGGCTTATGAAAGGGTGGTTAGACGAGTTAAGTGGTAGACGTTGCAAATGTAGTAAGTTACTAAAAGCAGTACAGAAAGTGATGCTCGGACTGTTTATATAGTACTGAAAAGGACTATTTTCCAGTGTTATTATAATCAAAACAAAGAGCTAAACCTTATTTTCCAGTATGTGTGATGTTAACATGGTTCTTCAATAAATTGACAAGCGAATGCTAGTGTTGGGTCGGTGTAGGAGAAACAATGAACCCGTTACCAAGTAGCAATTGTCACTAATACTCTTTGATAATAAAATTCCTTTGGTAGAATCGGAAAATAAGTTGCAAAGGTTGGTGGAGAATTTGGGATGGTGTGTAAAAGTGAACTGGAAGTGAACATAGAAATGAGCAGAGTGATAAGTAAAAAAAAAAATAGATAATGTACTGAATATCGAATTAGACAGTATGGGGGAAGTAAATGTATATATCTGGGAGTGAAGGTGTCGGAAAGTGGGTCTATGGAAGACGAGATGAAGCACAAAATAGATGAGGGGAAAACAGCATCTGTGGAAGAAAGTTTATCTACGAAGGAAAAAAAAATGTACCAGAATGTAGTGGTATAAATACCTTGGTATGGGTGAGAAACAGTCTCGTACCCATCGTAAGTTAAATATGTTAGTTTTTCAGGATCAAGATCGTGTACTCATGGTGCATCATTTATCTACTGATCCTGATCTTCTAGAAACACTGGGTCATAACCTGGTGAAAATACTATGCTGTAGACACAAAATTAACAACACATTGTGTTTTTTTAATTAAATTTAGGCCCAATGCACACCGCCTGGTCGGTAACTGAGTTTAAACCACTTGGGAAAACAATCTTAAATGGTTTAAATTCGTTACAGACCAAACGGTGTGTTGTAGGCCTAATATATATATATAATTTATTTATTTTCAACAAGTCGGCTGTCTCCCACCGAGGCAGGGTGACCCAAAAAAGAAAGAAAATCCCAAAAAAGAATATACTTTCATCATCATTCAACACTTTCACCTCACTCACACAATCACTCTTTTTGCAGGCGCCCAGAATACAACAGTTTAAAAGTATATACGTATAAAAACACAATATATCCCTCCAAACTGCCAATATCTCAAACCCCTCCTTTAGAGTGCAGGCATTGTACTTCCCATTTCTAGGACTCAAGTCCGGCTATATAAAAATAACCGGTTTCCCTGAATCCTTTCACTAAATATTACCCTGCTCACACTCCAACAGCTCGTCAGGTCCCAAATACCATTTGTCTCCATTCACTCCTAACACGCTCACGCACGCTTGCTGGAAGTCCAAACCTCTCGCCCACAACACCTCCTTTACCCCCTCCCTCCAGCCTTTTCGAGGACGACCCGTACCCCGCCTTCCTTCCCCTGCAGATTTATACGCTCTCCATGTCATTCTACTTTGATCCATTCTCTCTAAATGACCAAACCACCTCAACAAACCCTCTTCAGCCCTCTGACTAATACTTTTATTAACTCCACACCTTCTCCTAATTTCCACACTCCGAATTTTCTGCATAATATTTACACCACACATTGCCCTTAGACATATATATATCCTCCATGGGGAAGTGGAACAGAATTCTTCCTCCGTAAACCATGCGTGTTGTAAGAGGCGATTAAAATGCCAGGAGCAATGGGCTAGTAGCCCCTTCTCCTGTATATATTACTAAATGTAAAAGGAAAAACTTTCGTTTTTCCTTTTGGGCCACCCCGCCTCGGTGGGATACGGCCGGTGTTGAAATAAATAAATAAATAAATATATAAAATATTTATATATATATATATAATAAAAATATAGGGGGTGGTAGGAGAAAATTCTCAAACAGCTTCAGGGAGAATCTTGAGTTTTCCCTGAAGCAAGTTTATTCTTTTCTCTGAGGATGAGGGTCCCTATAACAGTTCTAGAGGTGGTACCTATATATATATATATATATATATATATATATATATAATATATATATATAATATATATATATATATATAAATATATATATAATATATATATATATATATCTTATTTTATTGTGGTAAAGTATAAGGTTGTACTGGGTTGCACTTCATTCGTCTGTTTCTGCACATCTTCCCTTTAAGTTTGGCGCGCACATCCGTGTTCTCAGCAACACTGAACTTCACTTTTTATTTAGCGGAAAGTGCTAAACACGTTTGACGTCATTTAAAGCCTGGGGAACGAGAGGCATTCAGGTTTGATCCAATGAGAGGATAATTCCGGTTCCTTGGATCACAAAGCTTCTCATAAGCATCAACGCACCTCCCTTTAAGGGTTCTTTCCCCTAAACACAATATAAAATAGTCGGTCGCTCAATCAAAATATATGGGTATAATAAGCGTAATCTGCGTCACACGTGGCGTGCAGGCAGTGATAAGACACTTGAGAGTGGAGTAGCATCATGATAATGCACTGCTACACATGACGTGATCTGCCCGTCTCTCCACTTCCTTTGCCAATCAACGTAAATTTGCAGAACTCTTCTACAATTGACAGGAGAGTTATGCAGCTGCTGGTGACCGTGGCGCCCACTACTATCATCAATAGTCCATTTACAATAGTTGCCAGTATGTTTGTAAGATCAGGGACAAGATAGGCCCACTCAAAAGTTCCTCGGGTCAGCTCACTGACAGTGATAAGGAAATGTGTAGAATTTTTAACACATACTTCCTCAGTTTTTACACAGGAGGATACCAGCGATATTCCAGAAATGATAAATTATGTAGAACAGGACGATAATAAACTGTGCACGATTAGGGTCGCAAGTGACATGGTCCTTAGGCAAATAGATAAATTAAAACCTAACAAATCCCCAGACCCTGATGAACTGTATGCAAGGGTTCTAAAGGAATGTAAAGAGAAGCTTAGCAAACCTTTGGCTAATCTTTTCAACATATCACTACAAACTGGCATGGTGCCAGATAAGTGGAGATTAGCAAATGTGATACCTATTTTCAAAGCAGGTGACAGGTCCTTAGCTTCGAACTATAGACCAATAAGCCTAACCTCCATAGTGGGAAAATTTATGGAGTCAATAATTGCCGAGGCAGTTTGTAGCCACCTTGAAAAGCATATATTAATCAACGAATCTCAGCATGGTTTTACAAAGGGGCGTTCCTGCCTTACGAATTTATTAACTTTTTCACTAAGGTATTTGAGGAGGTAGATCATGGTAATGAATATATTGTGTATATGGACTTCAGTAAGGCTTTTGACAGGGTCCCACATCAGAGACTATTGAGGAAAATTAAGGCACATGGAATAGGAGAAATTTTTTCATGGATAGAGGCATGGTTGACAAATAGGCAGCAGAGAGTTTGCATAAATGGGGAGAAATCAGAGTGGGGAAGCGTCACGAGGGGTGTTCCACAGGGGTCAGTGTTGGGCCCCCTGCTGTTCACAATCTACATAAACGACATAGATGCGGGGCATAAAGAGCGACATCAGCAAGTTTGCCGATGACACCAAAATAGTCCGTCGAATTCATTCTGACGAGGACATTAGAGCACTCCAGGAAGATTTGAATAGACTGATGCAGTGGTCGGAGAAGTGGCAGATGCAGTTTAATATAGACAAATGCAAAGTTCTAAATGTTGGACAGGACAATAACCATGCCACATATAAACTAAATAATGTATATCTTAATATTACGGATTGCGAAAAAGATTTAGGAGTTCTGGTTAGCAGTAATCTGAAACCAAGACAACAGTGCATCAGTGTTCGCAATAAAACTAATAGAATCCTTGGCTTCATATCAAGAAGCATAAATAATAGGAGTCCTCAGGTTGTTCAACTCTATACATCCTTGGTTAGGCCTCATTTAGATTATGCTGCACAGTTTTGGTCACCGTATTACAGAATGGATATAAATGCTCTGGAAAATGTACAAAGGAGGATGACAAAATTGATCCCATGAATCAGAAATCTTCCCTATGAGGATAGACTAAGGGCCCTGAATCTGCACTCTCTAGAAAGACGTAGAATTAGGGGGGATATGATTGAGGTGTATAAATGGAAGACAGGAATAAATAAAGGGGATGTAAATAGTGTGCTGAAAATATCTAGCCTAGACAGGACTCGCAGCAATGGTTTTAAGTTGGAAAAATTCAGATTCAGGAAGGATATAGGAAAGTACTGGTTTGGTAATAGAGTTGTGGATGAGTGGAACAAACTCCCGAGTACAGTGATAGAGGCCAGAACGTTGTGTAGCTTTAAAAATAGGTTGGATAAATACATGAGTGGATGTGGGTGGGTGTGAGTTGGACCTGATAGTTTGTGCTACCAGGTCGGTTGCCGTGTTCCTCCCTTAAGTCAATGTGACCTGACCTGACTGGGTTGGGTGCATTGGCTTAAGCCGGTAGGAGACTTGGACCTGCCTCGCATGGGCCAGTAGGCCTGCTGCAGTGTTCCTTCGTTCTTATGTTCTTATGTACTTGTTATTTATGAATTACTGTGTCATGGTTATATATCCAAAGAATAAAGCAGAAGAGGCTTAAAGATAATTTTAATGGGATGTAAAAGTGGTGAGAAAAGTAGCTATTAGAATTCAATCCTAACAAGTACAAACTAGCAAGAAGGGGAGAGGAAGTTAGAAGACCAGACAAGAAACAGCCTGAAAGACAATGTACAAGAATTAAATCTGAAAGAAAAACATCTCGCAAAGTATATCACCGAAAGTTCATATTAACTGCATAACCTTAGACCATATGCAAAACTACCACCAACCATAAAAACTCATTTTGGACATTATACACAACTTACGTCATGCTGATCTTGAACTATGTTCACCTACGTGGAGCCTAATAATAAAAAACAGTCAGTAGAGATGTTCTTGGTATGTAAAGTAAAAGGACACAAGTGCAACTAATGTGACATTTTTATTGTGGCAACGTTTCGCTCTCCAGGAGCGAAACGTTGCCACAATAAAAAATTCACATCAGTTGCACTTGTGTCCTTTTACTTTACATATTGTCGGTAATCTACCAACATTACAATGTTCTTGGTAGGGAAATTGAGAGGTGTGGACTATGAAAGACATTATTATTATTATTATTATTATTATTATAATCAAGGGGGAAGCGCTAAACCCGGAGGATTATACAGCGCCTGGGGGGGATGTGGAAGGCATTCAGGCTTAATTCGGGGAACTGGAGCACAGATCCAATTCCCTAAATCAAGAGCCCCTCACCAACATCAAGGAACCTTCCTTGAGGGGACTATGAAAGACAGAGCTTAACCGTTACTCCAGTGACACTACACATCAGTAACTATTGCCAAATCTGTACCTTCCTATATATTTTACGACTGCTATTCAAATCAAATCATTTTTTTTCGCTTGAGCTGTGTTAGTTGAACATCCTCAGCACCCTACGCATATCCCCTTATTTACATCTTTCACTTGTACACTTCAATCATATCCTCAGTCCTCATTCTATGTCTTTCGTGAGTGTAGATTCAGTGCTCTCAATCCATTATCATAGGAAATATTCCTGTTTTAAGAGAATAATTTTTGCCTCTGCATTTTTTACAACAGAGTTAAATTGTAATGTGAAGGCAAAACTGCACCACCGAATCTCAAGGCCATACCGTAGATGTATGAAGTTATAATAACGATATAAATCCAAGCTATATTGTGAACCCTTGGGCACTGCTGTTTTGACTTCAATTTTTTTTCTTAACCAGAACTC